AATGAATTCAGAAAAAGAATTTCCCACTGCTTCTTTGGGAACTACTGTGCGAGTTCCTATTCCTGACGTTGACAAGGGGCGAGGTGATTCGTGCAATATATTGGCAGTTGTAATGAGTGTGACAGAGGATGGTTTCTACTGACTTGAAACTTATGAAGGAATTTTAAAACAAGTATATGTGAGATCACAATTCACTTTATGCTCTAAGAACTTGTTTAGAATTGAAGATATTCCTGACCATGAAATTCCTCTCCGGTCAGTTGAAATTGCTCAGTCTAGTGGAAGTGGCCAAGGATTCGTCAAATGTATGTATAAAACAAAGTGCCAAAATATGAAATGTTTTTGCATGAAAAATGTAATGAAATGTAATTCAAGCCTACCATGTTGCAACAAGTAGGTTAATTTTAATTTCTTATTTTTTATATGAAAAGTTTGTTTCCTTTAATAAGAAATGCATACATTTTGTTTTGTACAACTTTCATTTTTTTTTTACATATTTTGAATAATTTTTTTTTAATGGTTTATCAGGACCTTCTTTCATACTTTGCCTAAATAGCATTTGTCGTTCTATAGAATGCCTAGGTATTATAAACAATGCCTAGAGAATGTATGTAATAATTCTCATATTTCATACATTGCCTAAAAACACTGGGCATTATATACAATGCCTAGGTATTCTATAGAATGCTGGCTTTTCATACTTTGCCGGTAACATATATTGTTTTAGTTTAGTATATATAATTTATATTGTAATCAATCACACATCCACACACACAATATTACATAGGCTTGTGTGCACTGTTTCAAACTTTAATTATACCTGTATGCCATTATTTTTATGTTTGATTTATGATAGTTCTGTTCTGGACTATCATACTTTGGGGACATACAGTACCTGTAATTTGCTATCAATGATACCATCATCCATCTTGAATTTCTAAAGTCATTTCAACAGTATCAATAGTTGATGTTAATCTGAACACACTACATTTTCAAAAAGGAATCAACACTAAAATAGGTTTCTTATTTTGTTTGCTGTTTTTTGAAATTCCCACTTGCACAATTTTTTCACAATGGGAATTAGGCTTTTATTTGACATTCCCTGCTTACAAAAGAAAAATTTATTTTCTATAGTATAAAAAAAATTCTCTACCAGTTGATTTAGGATCTGTCAGTGTATAAATAAGTGATTTATTCACATTATATTAATATAGAATACAAAGTTATTAAATTAATACAAAACAATTATAAAAACATCAAACTGACATCACAATCATTGATTACCTACAAAGATTTTGCAAAGGCATATGATAAATTAAGTTCTACATAAACTCTTTCAAATGCAATTCAATATAAGTGCAAGACAGACAAAGCATGCATATTATCTATAAACATAGGAAAAACAAAGTACAGTGAAACCTCGGTATACGACCTTAATCCGTTCCTGGTGTTTGGACTTATACCGAATAGAACGTATACCAAACCAACCTTTCCCATAAGAAGTAATGTAAAAATGATTAATCCATTCTCATGTAAAAAAAAATGCGGGCTTTAAACACCTCGCTTTCCTAGCTAGTTCCTGCTTATTTTTCGTGAGATCAACATGTATCTTTTTAGCTTTCTCGCAAATAATTGTTTCTGATACGCTGTCGCCAGCACACTGTTTTTCAGTTATCCAAAACAAAAGCAATTTCTCAACATGATCTAATGTCTTCAATCTCTGTTTAGAAATTGATTTAACCTCTTTCGCAACATTAGCAGATTTAATAATGTCTTTATTTTTCACGATTGTCAATATCGTCGTTCTCAGAATATGGTATGCAACAGTAAAATCTTGAACCCGCATGCCACCTTCATATTTCTCAACAATCTCTTTTTTCAGTTCCATTGTGATTCTAGTCATTTTTTTAGTTTTCTGTTGCTTTTCATTTGCTTTTTTGCAATTTATGATTAATAAAAATAATAGAATTTTACTTACAAATTAAAATCAGAAGAAATTTAACAAAGTTATAAACCATTACACCGCGAACGTCTAGTCTGGTCTAGTACATCGATAGTGCTACTTGTTCATTGATGGCGCATATAATTGAATTAAGTCGTATACCGAGCAAAATTTGTTTCGCCCAAACAGGACGTATTCCAAATTGAACGTATTCTAAAGCAGACGTATACTGAGGTACCACTGTATTTATATATGGGAGATACAAGAATAAATTTTACATACTATACTTTCACATTCAAGTGTTTTTCTTCTTAGTGTTTATTATAAAATTCTTAGAAAAGAAAGAATTTACCAAAATAAAAAAATTTCTGGGGAGAACCACTTAATACTGAAAAAGTACAAGTATATTAACATTCCCATAAATTCAGTTCATTTTTAACTGAAAACATTTCCCTCTGAATGTATTAATATATAAAAGGCTGTCCAAAGTCTGGATCAATAAATAATTTACCTTATAATCGCTATTCTAATTTTTATTTCTCAGTGCTATTTTTTATCTCTAAATTTATACAACATTCCTTTGTAAGAACAGCCCAGAAGTATCAACCTACTAAAGGAAGCAATAATATCAATGTGTGATAACATCAGTATAAATAACTGAAGGGTTCAATGATGCATTCAGTGCATTTGAAAGTGTTTGGAAGTTGAAGATCATCAATTTCAGCATTTGCTGCAATTTCAAATATTTAAATAAATTGCAAAACTTTTTTCTCTATGATATATGAAAAAAATTTTTGGCCACTATATAATTATTTCAATACAGTCGACCCCCCTATAAGATAGAGATACGTTCCATTCTCTAGGAATCCGCTTTCTTACAAATCCTTCCAATCACAACCCGACACGTATCAAGTTTACGGACTACGGCTGTTTGAAAGATTTTCTTCCATAAAATTAATCGATTCTAGACTAATCCGACTCAACATTTCCAAAATACGTATATATTTTTTGGGAATAATCCGTATAAACTACGCTATAAACAAAAAATTGTAGGATTACTTACCGAGTGTCACCATTCGACATTGCCATTGCTCAACATTGTTTTCGTCGCGGAACAGCTCAGCAAAGAGCGGCCGATTTCTAACAACTTATTTTTCTGTGAAAACTTCGTAGAACTTCGGAGACATCATTAATATAAATAATTTTAATCGCCGTTGAATAAGAAATGTTTCTTTCACAAGAAATGTATAAAATTACAGTACTGTATTAGACTTACGGTACCTAATTTACATACTGACAGACGATAGTTAGCGTAAAAATCTCCGTAGCGTGGCGCCACGCTAGACGGCGGAAATTATATATTTAATTATAACAAAGTTACAATAAGTTAATATATAATTATATATACAGTACCTAATTTATATATAATTAATATATAATTATATGTACAGTACCTAATTTATATATAATTTATATAATACTGTCCAGACGATAGAAATCTCTCCGTAGCGTGGCGCTACGGACGGCGGGAAAGTAGTTCGGCTTCCCGATGACGTTTGAGGTGTTTATAGGGAACTTTTACTATTTTTTACAGATACCGGTAGCAATTTTTTCGTAGTTTTATAGGAATCGTAACTATAGGGACCGTAATTATAGGGGGGTCGACTGTATCTTAATAATTTTTAGCATTTTTTTATCACACACTGAAGAATAGGAAATAGCTACGAATACTTAAGGGAAAGGAAAATAAAACAAAAAATTTATCATAAAATTAAAAAAAAAGCTTCTAATAAATTCTTAATAATAAAATAATCTTCAAAATTCTAATGATTTTTTGCTCTGATATTAATTTAAAAATTCTAATTTAGATTATACAATGATCTTATGACAACTTACTAAATTTTTTTGATCATTCTGAAAATTCAGATTAAAAAAAATATAATTTAAATTTTATTTTTGAATTTTCCAGTTAATAGTACATACATTAAATTTAAATTACAATAAAATTTTCATTTCCAGTTTATCATCATATTGTTGAAAAATAACACAATATTAGCCAATCACATACAGTTTTCTAGTATTTATATCAAAAGATGAAGTCACAGGCTGCTTCGAAAAATGTTTGTTAAAATTAATGATTTCTATATCTTTTCTAATAGTTTTAAATAGTTCTTAAAGAAATTGCAAAATTGATTTATCTCTGAACCCACACATTTTACATCAAAAATATTAAAATTGGTTAGACATATTATATGCATGTGTTCACTATATAAACCAGTGTTTCTCAACCTCTAATGAATTGTCACCCTCTTCAACGTAGTATCGCCCTCTCAATAAAACTGTTACGTAGTATTGCCCCCTTCACTTCAAAATTTCGATGCTGTGGGCCAAGGCTAACGCCAAATTCGTACTTCATTGAATAGACTAGTGACTACTATAGTGTTATTTGTTTAATTATTGTACGATATAACAAATAAAATATCCAATTATTCTTAATATAATGTTTTACTATATCGCCCAGAAAATTATTTTTTGCCCCCAAAATATAAATTGTTACTAATCGCCCCCTCAACATGGAAAAACGCCCACATGGGGCAATATCGCCCCTGTTGAGAAACACTGATATAAACTGTTTTTCAAGTATTAAAGTTTAAAATTTAAGTTAAGTTTTTTCAATTAGTAAAGTTTTTCAGTATATTATGTAGAAAAGTTTTGAATATTAATAAAATAATATAAAACTATAAAACTTTACATCATTTGCAAATATAACTGCTATGCAATCAAAAACTCACTGATGTAAAAATTTATCAACTATATAATTAAATAGGAATCTTATTTTTGCTTGACTTCTTAAACTGTTTCAAAAAGAAAATGCTGACTCTTAAACAATGATTACACAAATAAAAGAATGGAAGGGCATCTACTAGAATAAATTTTCTCTATTATCATGCAGTTTCAAAGTTTGATTATGCACACACTGTTTACACTCAATTTGTAAATAATCTGAGTATAATTAAAATTAATAATTCATACATGCACAAGTTTTGGAAATTCTTACCTGATGCATCTAATAATAGACCTAGTTACAAATTTAAATAAATTTAGTTTTTAAATTTAAAAAACTCAGATTTCACATGTAGAAAATTAAAAAAATTCTCACCATATTTACGTCTTATTTCATCTGTTTTTGTTTGTCGTTCTTTTTTCCTTTTAAAAAAAATACATAATTACTATTCTAAACAATTGGAAATATTTTATGTTTAATACATTTTTATATGATTAATATAAATGCAACTTTTTTTCCTTTCTCACAGAAATAAATGGCCGTACAGTAAAACTAATAATAAAAATTTCAGCTTATGATTCATTGTACTTGATGTTATAAATTGATAACAAATCAAAGATCAATAAAAACTAATGCAATAAATAAAAATATATTTTGCTTTCTGTAAGAAATAGTAATTTTGAAGCATTATTACAAATTAACACACTTTACATATTTTAAATCTAAAAAGTATTTATATAGTCTGGCAAAATTAATTATGTTATAATTAGTGGGTGATTATAGGCCATGGGTATAATAGTTGTCCCCAATCAGTGCCATGAGTAACCGCAGATGGTTATATCCGAAATTAAATATGTCTGGAAGCAAAGAGTCAAATAGAGATCTGAATAGCATAACTGGTGACACATCTGCATGGTAAGCAGGAGTTGCAGGTTTGAGTCCCACTCCAGGCCATAATTATAATTAAATATTAATTTAATTAGAATTATTAAATTTAATAAGACATGGTGCCACGCACACACGAGAAAACACAAGATGGCTGCAGAACAAGTGTTGGGCTATCAACAGAGAAATAAAAACATATTTGGAGAGACGATAAGATCTGGCTATTCTTAGATATGTGGCAAGAAAGTATTTATTTCTAACCAAAACTTCCATTTTGTTTGTTGGTGTGCATGTCTTACTGCATAGTTATGTCAGTTTTATTATTGTGTGCAATAGCCAGGTTCTTCTCAAGCAGATTGCTTATGTGAACAGCAATCTGCTTGAGAAGATCTGCTTCGACTAGTGACAGTTACAATTGAGATTGTGGGTAAATCGAGATCAAAGTGAGTCGTGGATTGTGTGCAAATGCAGAATTAGGCTTCATTGCTTCCATACGCTTCTTGGATATTGCATCCAAACCATATCCAAGATATGGCCAAGTAGAGGTTTTATATATATATATAACCAAACAAAATAAAAAAGTACTGAAAACACATAAGCAAAAGACAAGAAAGGCTCTTAAGGTAGGAACAAGAGACAACTTGAGCACAATGCAACAAGTGCATTTTTCACTGTATGCACACAGTTCTAATGTAAAAGCATCCTTTGAACGCTGATCAAATCTCTCCAATTTAGCATTTGAATTCTGGAATGTTCAAAGAAGTACAAGGTATCACTATATTTATGAAATGTGTTTTAGTTACTTTAAAAGATATTAATTCATTGCAAATCATACAGCAGTTCACTTACTAGTTATAATTATTTGTTTTGAATTAATTTAATTTTTACTTCTTTATTTGAATATACTGTATTTATATGCAATTTGACAAAATTATCAAATTATGTTATGCTTAATTAATTAACCCTTAAGCCCCAATCCCGAGATATCTCGGGCAAGTTACATAGCGTTACGAAAAACTCGGTCGTTAAGGCCACTTTTGACAAAATTTTTTTTATTTTTTGAATGTTTTTTAAGTCTCCAAATTTTTTCAAAAATTTTTACCCGCACAAAAAAATTTTATCGCAATTTTAATCAACCTTTAATGATGCGCGATTAACGCTTAATTGTTTTTTTAATGGGATTTTTTTATCAAATTTAATTAATCGTTCTAAAGTTGTAGTGCATGGATTTTACTTCGGTAAAGTTATTTAAAGCTACTTTCTGATATCAACAACGACCTCCAATAGTTTTTTAATTTTTTTAATTAATAGATTTTATTATATATAAGTTTAATAAAGTCGAGGGGGGTCGAAAATTGCAATAAAAATTTTAATTTTTTAAAAATATTTAAAAATATACAACCAACTAGTATTCACCCTACTATAAACCCATCTCCTCCTGAGACTTCTGAGAATGTCCCGGGAAATCCGACTCCAGCTGTTCTCAAGGTCATCCAGCTGTGTAAACAATGACTCATCGGTGTCAAATTTTACAGAAAGGCCAGACAAAGGAAAATAAAATTTGAAGCTTTTTCTTCAAAATTAACGCATTTCTTTCATTTTTTTTCAGTTTTAAGTATTTTTTATGTTTAATTACATTAATATCAAAAATTGCTCAGGGCTTAAGGAGTTAAAGGAGTAAGCTCTAAAAAGGAATGCTCTTATTCAACCAAAAAATGTTGCTTGTGTATTTTTATTTAAAAGAAAAAAAAAAGCAACTTTTCCTAATTAAGAGTAAACAATAAAATATCTTTTTCTTAAATTGTATGCATTTTTTACTGATTATTTAGAGAAAGAAGTCACTGCAGATGTTAGACGATGTTGAAGTAATAATTTGGAGCAATTTATTTGCTAGCACTAGAAAACTCAGCACAAGTTTTAGTGCTAGCAAATAAATTACTCCAAATTATACAATCAAATTAGTTAAGACAAAAATGTGTAAAATAATTATCAATGACCAACTATTTAAAACATATTAATTGCATTAAGTCAATATACTGCTCTTTAATTACAAGGATCCAAACCAATAACCAAATCAATAAGCCACAGTAAATATTTGTCGTCAGATATAACAAACATCTAAAATAATTAACTTCTACAATAATTTTATTTCCTAAGACAGTAATCAAGTATCAGTAACTGATTAAGTCTTAAATAAGAGTTAACTGCTTATCAATACTATAAACTTTTAGGTAATCACTGCCCTGTATTCAATTTTCAGACTGTTTGATATAATAATTGGAAAACTGTTTTAAAAAAATACACATTTAAAACATCCAGTAACAAATTTAATAAAGTAAAAACATTTTCGGTCGGTTTTACCAATCTTCATCAGTTACAATAGAACATTACACTAATACAAAAATTTAAAATTGATAATAAGATTTCTAAGATAAATATATAAATAAATAGTTGAGATTAATCAAATAAATATTCACAGAAATATATTAATTAAAAATAAAACAACAACAAATGAATAAATATCATCCAATAAAATTAATTTTCCTAAATGGACTGCTATGCTGTAGACAAATTGTCTGCATCCCTATGGTTCTTGCAAGACAATTTTTTGTGTGCTTTATAGATTTCCAATTTATCTAGATATTCTATTGTGTATATTAGAAGTTGGTCTGATGGTGATTACTTCTTCCCGTAGTACTTTTATATCCTGATGTTGCGTGTGAGCCACTAGTGCTGTATTATTTAGATTTTTATCAATTGTGTTCCTTATGTCCTTAAGTCTTTGTTGTAAATCACATATAGTGGCACCCACGTAGAACAGTTTTGATTCGAAACACTGATCAATTATCCCCGCAGACAAATTACATTCATATGGCTTCTTATCATTCCTTAAAATTCTGAAAATTGTTGGGTTGTGTCGGTATACTATCACTACATGATTGCTACATAGTTAGCTTTGGCCTCTTTCTTATGTATGTTTCTTAAAGATGGGATATAATTTAAAACAACCCTTTGTTTCTGGTTCAATGATGCATGTTAATTTTTTGATGTTTGAAAGGTTACAATTAATTTTTGTATTATTTTTTATTGGATAACCATGTTGTTCTGAGATGTTTAATATGTAATTCAGCTCCGATAGTGTGTCATGTGTATTGGTACAATGGGTATATGCCCTTCCAATCAATGATCTAAATGCTGCAAGTTTTATGTGCTAGGAATCAACAGAGTTGTATGGAATTAAAAGAGGTTGAAAATGTGGTTTCTTATATACCTTGGTCCCGATTTTGCTGTTTTTGAAAGAGATAGAAAGGTCCATGAAGTTTACTGTTGTTTCAGTCTCCTGGTCTAAGTTTAGGAGTAATCCATAGTGATTATCATTGATCACCTTTAAAAACTGCTTTAAAAACTGTGTATGATCATACCACGGAGAATTACTGTACTTCAATCCATTCTTCAATTCTCCGTGGTATGATCATACAAATAATAATAATTGTAAAATTAACCGAAATAATATAAAAATTCTGCATTTTGAAAAAAATGTTTATAAAAGAAAATTTAAAGAGGAAAACATTAAAAATAAGGAAACAAAAAAATAATTTAATAAATCTCTCAGAAGGTATGCAAATTGATTGCCGCTGGTATGAGTTAATAGATGGCGCTGAAACAAGTTGAGATTGTATAGATTTTGTTTAAACATTGTAAAATTATTTTGTAAAAGAACTTTTTCATTGTAAACCTGATACTGGTATAATGTAAATGTTGTTTGTGTATCAAACGGTTTTACATACGTATATTAAGTTTTTGCTATGTTAACTGGTTTTACTACATCTGTTATACACCCAAGTGTAAAAAAGTTTTATATGATTGTGAGTATTTTTTAGAAGTTTGTCTGTTGGAATTATAGTTGTTTGAGTTTTTAGATGTATATTAATATGGAATACACAATTTCAGGTTAAAATATTGATTAGGGATGAGGACGGTTTGCCTCCCACTTCCTAATTTGAGATAAAAAAGGAACAATTTTTATAATTTACAAAATTGGAAAATGTAAGTGTTTTTTGTGATTTGATTTGTTTCATGCAATATAACATAGTCATGTTTTAATATTTCTTGTTTTTATTTGTAATAGCACTGAAGAGGGGTTGGAATACATTGTACCAACCCGAAATATATTTGTAGTCCAATGAAAAATAAAAGATAATTTGCTAACCAGATATTGCTGTAAGATACGTCTACCAAAGTGTGTTTTTGGATTACAGAGACGAATTTACAATTGTAACTGATGAAGATTGGTAAAACAGACCAAAAATGTTTTTACTTTATTAAATTCGTTACTGGATGTTTTAAAAATGTATTTTTTAATCTATTTTTATCCAGTTTGTGCAAAATATATAAGTTATTGGAAAACTGTCCAAATATTAATTCAAACCTATTTTAATTGTTTTTTATGTTGATTTTAGAGAATTACAAATATCATCAAGTTTAATCTGACTTTGAAATGGTCTGGTTGTGGAGGTTGGTATAATGGAAAAAGCTTAAGTAACATCTAATGTCAAATTCTTATTTTTACAATAATATTTTTTTTAACTGTTCTGGCATTTGGAAAGAATATATGGGTTCTTTGCTGGTAGAATTATTCTGTGCATTTTGTAGTCATGACTACATTTATGAACAAGATTATCAAAGTTATTCATTGGATCAAATAGATAAAGATCTATGGGATAAAATCTGGTATTAAGCAACACAACAAAATCTATACAATGACAACTGCTGTTCAAAGTGATTTGTGATTTTAATAAACCACACACAATATGAATATCTGTATTTCTTATTCTGGTCAAAACATATTTAAAATTGATTGTTTTCGTGATAAATGGGTATTGCTGTTCTCTCAACATAGCTCTGAAATGCACTTTAATCAAGAATTTTAACTTAAATTATCCTTTAATTCCCAGATTTTTAATGACATTATGTTCGTGTAAGAAAAAAGTTATGAGAATGAATTTAACCCAATTTTTTCCAGTTCAAAATAATACATTTTCATTACTTAAAAGATTGATTCATTTATATAAATCAATCAATCTTTCAAGTAGTGAATGATCAATGTAAAGAATTTTTCTGATCCTTAAGAATACAAGACTTGTTTCTAAATACCCACATTAACTATAAATAGGTCTCTTGTAAATATTTTTATATTGATTATTGTTTTTAATAATTCTTGGCTATATTATTTCTTACTGTAATAAAATACAAAGTCAGCTAATTGTATCTTATTGTGACATTGTCACAATGTTAGGTTGTAATTTTTAATCATATTTTAATTTTAAACAGTCAAGCGACTTCTGGTCCAGACTGGAAATTCATTTATACTTAATCAGGGCTTCCAGCCCATAAGCTTTCCATATCTGGTCTCAACTTTCATATATGTAACTCCATTCTCAGATTAAGGAAGGATGGATGGACAGATGGACAACAGTGGAAATCTATAGTTATGCAATTTATGAAACTGCAGCCCAATAATACAAACAATTATATAAAATAAAATTTAATGTAAAAGTATTTCAAAACAAACTGCAAATGTTTTTTCAATTATATAAATAAATTGTNTCACCATATTTACGTCTTATTTCATCTGTTTTTGCTTGTCGTTCTTTTTTTTTCTTGTGCCCGAGCTTTTCGTTCTTCACGTTCCTTTTCCCATTTTGCTTGCTATCTTGCCCATTTATCTCTTCCTTGTTTCCGACAACAGCAGTAACAACAAACAATAATTCCAATAATTAAAACCCCACCAATGACACTCATTGTTATTATCAAAGTCTGAAAGTTAACTATAAACAAAATAATATATAAAAGATTTATGAAATAAAAACTTTTCTAAATTTAAACAATAATATAATAAATTTTACCCAAGCATGTTCCCCAGGCAATATCTCCCATTGAGCCACATTCATCGTATCTAGGAACAAGGTGTTTATATGGATAAACACTACACTTTTTTGTTTTTCGGCAATAGTAACACTGAAATAATTAAAAATAAGTCATTTTTCTGTTTGATGTTTTTAAACATATTTTTTGTTAGTTATGGTAACTGGTAAAGTTAAAGGTAACTTTTAATTTAAAATTAAAAGTTATCTTTTATGGAAGCTCCACACATTAGATATTCATCAAATACTAAGCAAGTAATGTGGATGATTTACTTTTGACTAATATTTAGTATTCACCATTTCCCATTCCTTGTCAATATGTTATGCCAAATCAAAGGAAACAAACAAAACAGGCAATTATTCAGTAAGTGGCATATACCAAATGTGTGAAACCAGCATTATATATATATATTAAGTAAAAAATATTTTTTGTACATATACAGTGTTTCTATATCAAATATAAAAATGTAAACCTTTATTTGTATAGGCCTATATGAACACTAAATTTTACAGAAATAATATGCAGATTAATAATAATTATGGCTTATATGAGAAAGAAATTTTATTTTTGGAAAATTAACAGTAAATTTGGATATACTTTTTAATAATTGATACAATATATGATTGCTACTGCTTATTACTTTTGGTTTTTATTGATGCTTCTGAAAGAAATATCAAGCTTTTTAACATGCATTATAAATTCTTTTAAATGGAATATATAAAAATCAAGACAGACAACAAAAAAATATCTATTATGAATTTTGCTAATGGGACATTCCAATTTTCAACGCGAGTGTTGAGTGTTGAAGTCAACAATATGACGTCATCAACGACGTTCCAACTCGAGTACGAAGTGCTTAGTTCCCATAATTCCATTCTCAGCAAGATGGATTCCATTCAAATACCTTACCGATTACCCACAATTCATTGGAAAGTAGCAGTCAACATATCTGTTGAGTGCTGAGTGTGTTGAGTCAGCGCTGACAACAGCGCTACCTCAACATTGAAAAAAGGAACAAATTTTAACGAATGTTGAGATCAGCGCTGAAAATTGGAATGTCCCGTAAAGTTTTTAACCTAAATATTGTAAATTGCATTAAAGTTTGTATCAAACATTAGTTAAAAACTGAGATATAGTTTTATCTATAAACCATTTACTGAATATGATTTATACAATTTAATCAGTTATTCTGTAACTAAACATGAAGATAAAATTTAACAAACACTAACTGAATTCAAAAAGAAAATAAATTTCTTTTTGTTTTATTTTAGTATCAATAAATACATTTTATATATGAAAACCATAAATGCTTTATTTTTTTGCACATTTCATGAATTTTTTGGACATAATAAATAGTTAATACTCAAATATTGTATACAGATAATATCCTGATAAGAAAATTATATCATAGCTTTATTCAGCAAATGTTTATCTATATAAGTTACAAAGTATTTAGTCTGTAAAAAATTCCATAAAAGATACATCCACTGTTTGACAGAAAGCAACAACAGATCACACAAGCACACACATACATACATACATACATACGGAGGGGTGCAAAAGTAGATATATAGTTGAGAATCTGAGAAATACAAATGTTTGGTGTTCATTATTATTATTATTATTAGCTGGGGTACCTGGCTTCGCTCAGGGAGTTGATATGAAATTGTGTGGTAGTTGGAATAAAAGGATAAACTTTAAAATATAAAAGGTAAAAAAATTTTATTGAAAACATATTCTAACTATTTGCAATACTTGTTTATAAACAACATTTTTCATTTTGTTATCTGGGGTATATATGTACAAATTTTTCGAATTTCCTACTCGACAGCAAGCTACATACAGTTGACCGTGAGAGAAGCAGAAGACTTTGAGGTTGATGCCACAATGTTTTAAAGTGTCCTTGCGCTTTGTTAATTGTAAAACTATAGGCTAATTTGATTGGAAATTGCAATCTTTTAAATTGGAATGGCAGTTCAGTAGAAATCAGTGGTATTCTGGGGATAAATACTGTGTGTCCTTTCCAGTCATAAGTTCAAGTTCAATGATGTTATTCGATAGCTGTTCTTTTTGTTTTCACTATTTTGCTTCAGAACTGGCAAGAGCTCCTCCTCTTTTAAGTTTGGGCATTGTATAAAATAGAAATCAAATCAACTTTTTATTAACAAATACACTAAGTACACCTTACATAGTTTTCACACATTATTTTTGATTTACATTCAGTCATTGTATCACTTTGACTACTCACACTTCGCTGTTTTTATTCACTCACTGCACTACTTTGAAATTTTCACTTCTTTTTTGGTTCTTCCCTTCATCACTGATAAGAAACTGACGTTCAAACCCATGACTGATCTTGCTTTATATACCCCCACTAATGGGTAGTCCCACCCATACAAAAAAGGCTTTGAATGGTCCACAATGTTCCAGAACATCCTGAAACACTTCGGAATGTTGTGGAATGCTGTCTAATACTCTCAAATGTTCTGGACTGTTCTAGAAATTTCTAGAGGTCAAAACTTCCAGTCCTTATATCTTCAACAGCATGTCCTTCAGGTAAAAACGGGAACCTTCTTCATGGATGGGGGATAGCTACCACACCATATAACTCCCTTGATCATACCGGGACTTGTTTTTGAGTTTAAGCAACACACACATTGTACACTTACCTTTATTATATATATTGATTATTATTATTTTTTTTATTTTTTTTTTATTAGTTCATATCCCTTATTTGTAATTTAATTTGTACATAAAAATAAATATTTTTTCTTCCTATTTTCTCTGTTTTTTTTCTATAATAACTATATACCTACTTTTGCACCCTCCTGTGTATATATATATATATATACATACATATCTTTTGAAATTAATTTTTTCCAGGTTTACAAGTTTAATAATTTTTAGATTAAGTTTCATAACAAAAAGTTCTCTTAGGCAGAAAAGTTTCACTGGATAAAAAACAAGACATCATCATCATTGTGACATCCCATGAGGTCCAAAATCATGTAAATTGCAGAATTTTTGTGTTTAAATTATAACAATAGATTATATGAGAGAGAAAAAGGAAAAAATCCCTTTATCTAAACAACGAAGCACAATATGTAAACAAGTTCCGGGACAACTCCAACAGATGTTTAACGATCTATCAATGTCAAACCAAGAGATGGAACTCTGACACAAATGCTCGTATACAATCAAAATAGATTAAGAAATTGTGAAAAGGAAGAAGGTTTGACAGTCAAAGAGACATCGTGCTGGATTGTTTGAATTCTGAAATGTCATAATAAAGGAAATAAAGAGCTAACTTACAAGTGTAGAGGCCTAAGTTTCATCAACATCTCCCGGTCAGAGTCAAGAGACTGTGTCAGATAGACCAGCGGTACCCAACCTCTTTATCGCCGCGGACCGGTCAACGTTTGATATTTTACCGCGGCCCACTGAGGGGAGAAGTTGATTGTTTATATTTTAGATTGATTTAATTTAATAATTTTAATTTAATTGTATTTAAACATGCCTTCAAAATAAAATATAGTTACACCAAAAAATGAATATAATGTGATTTAACATTTTAACTCACTAGAACGTTAAATCAATGAAAACCCTGAGCTTGTTTCTTTGCAACAAGATGGTTCCATCTGGGGGTAATAGGAGATAATAACACCCGAAGTGTGTTTCTTATGTCCAGTTTATTCCGTTGTTCTGTCGTCCATTAAAAGTCGCACAAAACCAAGAGAAATATACCATAGTAAATAAAATGAAACTACTGTACCGGTAATTTAATGTTCCTTGGGCAGCCCGGTATCATTTGATCCACGGACCGGTACCGGTCCGCGGCCCGGGGGTTGGGGACCACTGAGATAGACTGTCTTGAATAGACCTTTCCCATGACTCTAACAGCTCTCGGACCTCATCTAGAGATGGAGGAGGGACCAATCAAAGAACAAACTAAGGAAACTTGGACCAATCAAAACGTGGGATTTGAGAAAAAAAATACTATAAAAACCCTGAATCTCAAGGTTGCAAGAGAGTTCTCCTCCAATATTTAGCATGATAAATCTGTGTCACCTCTACTCAGGATAATCCCAACACATCTGATGCTCTCTGACATCGGCAGAAAGCATCGGATTCCTCTGGATTAAGCCCGAAGTCATGCTCATTAAGTTGTGTTACCATCAACTACATGGGACACGACCACATCTTCGTCAATCATCTGCATCCATCCAATGAACCCTTCTCGTCGGCCTCAGGACTACGAACAATAGACCAAAACTCTCGCCACTCCAAAGGAACACAGAGAGAACCAAAGGGAACTGTCTAATATCGATGTAAGCATGAATTTGACAAAATAAATGGCTTTTTAACTTTGTAAGACACTTGTCATCATTCGTCTCCTCCACCACAGCCCACATACGAACTTCCCTTAGGTTCATCCTGATGTGGGATTAATTGATCTCCCCCCTAACAGTTGGCAAGTTTACATTTATTTATTTAAAATGTCTCAAGGACAATACTTGCTTCCCAATACCATAACCAATCAACAAAATCCATTAAAATATACACTAAAATACTACATAATTTTAAGAAAATAAATATAAATGATACTGTCTTTCTGCATCAAGATACTTTAATGATAACAAAAATAGCACCTAAACAATAACAGACATTAGCAAGTACTTTTGATATCATATTGATTTCTTCATCATGCAACATAGAGTACCAATTAAAAATTCCATTAGAACATTCATATAAAGAAAAAGAAATACATATTTGAATTTACAAACTAAGATTTAAACATAAAAATAATGGAATATTGATTTTATAATGATATAAAAAGAAAAGCCAAGTGAAACTGTAATGGGCAAATGTAAAACAGACAGTTTTCCAAGGACATTACAATATTACTGTTTTAATGAACATTACAACATTCTCAAATAATATTCAACATAATTAGAATAATTTAAATTTGTAGCATTTTTTGGAAGATCCTGTATTATGTATATTGGTAGTGCATACAGGATGTTAGTTTCAAACTTATAACAAGATTACTGAAATAGAACCTTGTCATAAGCTGAGGACTATTGTATTAATAA